TGTGTGGCGGAGCAGCCAGGAGCTCCTTCAGTTACAGCATGAAAGCTACAGAATATGTTCAACTGAATTTCTTTTGGGTTTTGCTAAATATCTAAATATTATTAAAGTCATTACTTCTCAGGAGTGAGCACACTTTTTCACGTCACTGTGTAGATTTTCTGGGTATTTATGTTTCAGGGAAGGCAGACGATACAACGCATTAGAATTTTCATACAAAACAGCTGATGAGTGTTTATGAATTTTGACCGTCAGATCCAACCCCCACACAACACTCATTCAGTCACAGATGCCACCACCCTCCCTGTTCTCCCCACTCACTAACCATGATACTTTGTTTCCTTTCGGATTTCATCAACTTTGCTCTTCATTTCTTGGGGTATAATTGCAAGTTTGGTGGCATCTATGACATACACCACACAGTGGATCCTGTCCTGAACTGGCAATCGGCTGCCCGTCTGACAGCCAGTAGTATCCATTGCCTGCACAGAGTTGAACTAAACAGACAAGAAGTTGTTAATGACACATAAAAACATTCACTAACTTAGAGATCATGGGAAACTCAAACAAAATGCAGTCTAAGCCCATTCATGTGACATTTGAGCAACAATAATACATTATTTAACCTAAAAACAAATCAGTGAATGAGATTAAATTTCCTCCAAAGAGAGTGTAGGGAGAAAAATACCAGCAATTATAAACATGTGTAAGTCATTAGAGGGATCAGACCTGCATGTATTCATATAACTGTTTTGTTATTGAGGCCTGGTTAGATACACAGTTCTTACACTGTACTTGTCTGGTACGTAGCCCTTCAGGATGCTCTCAATATCTTCAGTTTTCACGCCTCCATCCTTCCCTGCTTCCAGTCCCATGGTGTCACACAGTAAGAATGCCAGAGGCTGTCCACCTCGGCCTGCCTTCACCTGGTAAGTGCGATACTGGAAGAAGACACATGATGTCATTCATCTTCCGCCAGCTTGTCCAGCTCAAACTCATACAACTTGCGGGCCATTGGTATATATATATGTATGTATGTATGTATGTTTTATATAGTTCTCCAGGATCAGAGTTGGAGGCTCCTGGTGCACTGCAAGCTATATTCGCTACAATGAATCCATATACTTTTTTCCGCTCTTCATTCAGAACAATTCTGTAACCAAGCATCTATGCCTAACCAAGATACAGTGTAAATGTTAGTGTTAGTAGCATGGACTGAAAGTTCGGTATGCATTGCTAATAAAATAATAATGAAATGTGTGCATTAATAATAAAAATGCTATACATTCAAAACATAAAATATTTTCAGAGGCAAGAGAAAATATATGTCAGACATTATTGTGTGCCTCTGTATACAGTACAACATATAAACGGTCTTTAGAATTTAATGCCAGGTTAAGTTTCTTCTGCTTTCAAATTCAATCTGAGCTAAGAAAATAGTATCATATGCATAAGGTACAGTACACAAAACAAAATAAAATGAAAACATAAAATATATGCCTTCTCCACAGACCATAGACAATTAACAAGACAGAACAACATTACAGTACAAATAAATACTAAGTAGGCCTGGGTGATGTTACAGTATGCACATGCAACTCTTACATCGCAGCCGGGTGGCGATCAGGCTTTTGCATACCTTCTCACTATACATGCATTATACCATGGTTATTTTTTAATCCAATTCCAGGATTTAGAAATCATGGCGGCAAAATTTGCTGAGATGGAGAGGTTTATGTTTTGCAGAACATTTACATTCTGTTATAGGAAACAAAAACTTAGCAAGCTTTGCAATTTTAATGATTGTTAATTTTCAAAATGATCTAGTATATATTTGCATGAGCTCTGCAAACAATCATACTCACCTTCATCCTTGTTTATATCACTCATAGACATGTTTGTGAGAAATTTATTTTTAACTCTTTTTTGCTTTATAAATTGCAATATTTTCACAATTGGAGCAGTGGACAGAATACAGAGAATGCTACCAGAGTATTACAAAATTAGCAATCTGTTACAGAGGCAGCAAGTGTGCAATATTTCCTACCACAACCTCATACAAACAAGTAAGGTCAGAAACGAAGGAGCTGAGCAAGACGGTTTCACTTCCTGCTGGTGGACATACTGTAATCTTCCAGATTTAGGTAAACTATGCATGCAAGTATGAGCAGCAACACCGCTTGTGCAGATTACCTTCAAGGAAAGGCTGGTTGCCATCTCTCCTGCTTCAGCTTGGCTTGTTATGTTGCCACGGAAGATGGAGTTGATAGAGTTGAAGAAGCTTGATTTTCCAGCACTAACTACACCAATTATAAGAATCCGAGCCTGAGGCACTGAATCAATAGGGGGCTTGTACTCTTTCAGGGATTGCATGAGTTTGGTCTTTGTGCTAAGGAACAGACATTGGAATTAGAAATGGGAATTAGCTAAAATTCCTGTGAGATACAAAATAAAATCCCATATCTGACAACATATCTTCCTTTACAGTACATCTCATTAGCCATGTGCTACTGAAACCATTTGATGAGGTATCTCACATTGGTCTCACAATGTGGTTATTTATTCGTTTTATATTTACAGTAGATGCTTTAATCCAAAGCTACACAAATCTGAGAAAGCAGGGTCAGCCAATCCCTGAAGCAGTCAGAGTTAAGGGCCTTGCTCAAGGGCCTAATGGTGAAATAACCATGAGATCAGAATCTTCAGAATCAGAATCTTTCTTGCCACACAAATTTGTATTGGCTTGCTACTATTGGAAATACCATGACAAAAGACAATTAATTAACAGTTTGGGCATAAACAGACAGAACATATAAGGCAAAAGGTATGCAACAGTGATGCATAAATGCAAGGCAGATGATAATTACAGATATCATCTTGTGAGAGCCACATACTGCACTATGTTTATGTGTGTCTATTTGTGTCTATGTCTTTGCATTTTTGTAATTATCACATCCTTTGGACCATATTTCCCCATAATGTCATAAAAACCTGTAACTTTTCACCTTGTGGGGACATTTTTCAGTCCCCACAAGGAAAACCTCAATTTTATAAAATTTGTGGAGGAGAAGGTTTATAGTACTCGTGCATATGTGAAAAATATATGGATAAAATTATGTGACACAAGTAAAAGAAATGTTAATTATATTTAATAAAAATTGACTTCATACCTCTCGTCCCACGTAACATCCCTCCATGGTTTATCAAGGATCGTTGGTTTCCTTTCCTGTTCCACGACTTGCTGCGCGGTCTCCACTCTCCTGGGGGTTTCAGTACTGCTGCCGAGTCCCATTCTCTAAATACCAACTTCTGGACCTGTTCAATGAATGCATTGTATTTTCCTTATATTATAAGTTAAGCTCCGCTCTGTTTCCCGAAATGTTCTTAGTTAAGTATATCTTCCGTTAGATTCTTTCGTAAGGTTAGTCTAAGCCTCTCTTAGCTGTCTCTTATCGCTGTTATCGGCTCATACTGCTCATTTAAAATAAGACTAAAATCATTAAGGGTACATTTTCATAGCCAATCATCATTTAGCTAAAAGATTATTTTGTCTGATACAATCTTCGTAAGGTTTCGTCTTAGTGCTCTGTGCAGCGAATTGGCCGAGTCAATTGTGCAGAGTCATAATGAACGATGAGGAACGTGCTGTTGATTATGTATTTATTTATTAATTGGGAAGGAAGGGGGGATCTGCCGATACTGGGGTGGATGCATTCCCCCAATTTCCGACACCCCTGGAATGCACACACCTCTCTAAATGTGCCACCTGTCACAATATATTAAAACTTTGGTTCATGATGTTAATAAGAGTCGACACTGCAGGTTCATAAACATGTTAGTTTAATATATTTTCCCCAAAAAGCCCCCCTGGAATAGTCCTTGGAAGTCAATAATGAAGCACATAGGACATTATTTTATGTTGAGACAGTAATGTAATAATAGCTTTTCTTTTGCCTATTGTGCCATTGCTCGTCCCAATATGAAGGACATACACATAGGCCTATATTGGTGCACACAGGAGTTTTATAGAACAAATAACTATAAACTGGTGATACTACATTCTGGGGAGGTGAGTTCATGCACCCAGTCTGCAAAAATCATATTTACGGTTAGATGATTCAATTAGTTAATTTTGTATTTTATTTTTAGCTTCTCCCTAGTTCTGATTAATGCGATATTTTGAAGGATTTGTGCAGTATTATATTTATAAAGAACACCACTGTCTGTCATGCACCAGCCAAGCAGTTTCTGCATGGAGGGAATAAACTCACTTTTTCCAAATGACCCACAAAAGCTGCAGCTTTACATACAATTGTGAAAGTGAATTTAGGAGGTAATAGGTTTTTTAGATCAGATTTTTGTGATTATTGTGGCCACACCACAGTTCATATGAATATTGAATATTGCAGCAAGTCTCATTTTAGAATTGATGTACAGTTGTTGACTTAAAACGCTATGCTATAAACATGAAGGCAGATACACATTATCTTATAAGTTGCCTTAAAGTAAAATGCTTGTCAAGTGGATTCTTCTGTTTTTGTATGTGGTATATTAAAATAAAATTGTTTGTGTTTCTTTTTACAAAGGAACAATATAAGTACAGTCGATATTTCCCAGCCAACACATCCATGTGGGGCATGGGATGCACTTGGGCTGACATGGGAAACCCAAGTGGGGCCCAGTCAATTTTGTCATGTGCCCCCTTCACATTTCTGTCTGCCCCCTCATATATGCATGTCTAAAACCGGCCCCGCAGTAAAAGATAAAATATGAGTACATTTGAATTATATAATACTTAATAATATAATTTCTTATATTAATACAGAAATTGCCACCCTTCTGCACATCTGCATGCGTATTTATCCTGGGAATAACATGATATTCGAGAACAACAGAAACGAACGGTTCCACCAAAAATTTGTATAAGTATATACAAATCTTTCCACTGACAGACAAAAATAACGAGTTATTAGGATTACTAGCCTACAGTCTGTACGGTATATATATATATGCCTATTTGTTTAAAAAACTCTTTCCAAAACGACCCTGGAAAGCTGCAGATTTACAGACAATTGTGAAAACGAAAGTAAAAGTTCAAAGCATTTTATACAGGTATATTCACAAAATAACGGTGGCTGCACAATAGTTCAATAATTATCTTATGTTTATTTAATGTAAAACTCTCGTCAAACGGATTCTTCTATTTTTATGTATGATATATTAAAATAAACTCGTTTGTGTTAATTAGAATTATAGTCTCTGGGGTAATAGATTTTGCCAACGTCAGTTTTGCTTCTTTACAAGGAAAAATACAAGGCAGGCTGATATTTAATTGTGAAAGAATTTCTAAAATAAGTAATTATATGAATACAGATGCTGAAATCTTTCTTAAAATTTACATGGTCAGGAAGTTCCGGGAGAAGTCTGGTAAGTATATCAATTCCATCCAAAGACGTTTCAAAAAAGATTGTTTAGCAGGACGAGTTATGGGGGTTTCTTACATTTTG